CGGAATCCAAGCTTGAACACGCAAACTGACTCCATCCGTGCGAAACTCTTTGTTTAATTTTTAAACATTTTAACACATCCATTGAACTATTGTTTTACTGAATATTTATACATTTTTTATCAGCTATCATTTTGACTTGATAACGACGTTAGCTCAACGTCGAAACGTCATCGTTCTTTAACAAAATTTTTAACTTTCTCAATATGCTTAGAAATATTTTATCGCAATTTCTTATTGTTAAATAATAATAATAATAATAATAATAATAATAATAATAAAGACAAATAGGTGTAACGTAGTGGCTTATTAATTGCTTAGACTGACTATGTTACGTTCAAACCTCGGGTGGGTTACTTTCAGGGTTTAAATTTAAAGGAGGGGTGTTAGCTTATTGTCGACATATCTAATTTGTTTGGCAGGGCTAAAAAATAACTCAAGTGCTTGGAAGTATCCTTGAGTTGTTAGCAGCCCAAGACAAAATAAAGCGCTCATCAGTCTAATATATGGAAACTCCGTATTAATGATAAATGAACAAACGTCTGACGTCGAAGCAAACTACTACCCTCCTGTCATTACCAATATCAATCGCTTCTCAATTATTTCCATCATTTGATGATCAAAACGTCCTTGGAGATGATTTTACTAACTACAGAGTCAAATGGCAAGATCCTTCAAGCCTTGATTTCACTACGATATAATCCCATAAGTACAAGGACAAGCATAAGTATAAAGGTAGTGAGGACGGCTGCAACACAAAGACAAGCACGTGGGCATGCGCAGGATGGAGAAGTGCCTTATTCTGGGCTCCATATCTTCCCGATACTGTAAAACAAGATGGCGGAATTTCACTTTTACTTATACTTATGCTTACAACAGCGCGTTCTCACTTGAAATAAGCATAAGCACAAGAAGAGTACATACTTTTTTCTGCTTGTATTGAGCGTGTCCTCACTACCGTGCTTTGTGCCTATGCTTTTCCCTGCCTGTAGACATCTTCACTATCATTAAGCTTTCGTTTGTGCTTGGATTTAAAGCCATTCTTTGCAGGAGCCCAGCTGAAGGCCGGAAGTGGCAAAACCAGTTTCATTTATTTGGTTCCTCCCTTAACACGTTCAATTTCTTTTCACCTACAGTGATCAGAGGATAACACAAGAAGTGGACAGATTTTGTCTTTCTTTTAGATCATTACTTCTTGTTTTGATTATTTCACCATTCACCATTGCGTATTATACATACCTCTGCTATCAAAGGTAACATGTGTATCACTATGTAACAGCCTCTACTGTGGCGCCTCTATACTGTGCAATTTTTTGGCACTTTAGCATCGAAAGTAATAATAATAATAATAATAACAATACTAATGATAATGATAATAAATAATAATAACGATGATGATGATGATGATAATGATAATAATATAAACTTATTTAACAAGGATAAACCCGTTATCAAATGCTGTTATCAAAGGGTGCCCTGGGAAACTAAAAATAGAAATGAAGTAACGATAAAAATTCTAAAAAGAATACAACATATGTAGAGATAAAAACTTTATACAATTATAACGATTTTTTGTTTGTTTGTAAAAATACTAAGAGCTTTCACAAAAAAGTCCTTAAGCATTGTTTTAAAAATTAATAGAGATTCAGTGTCCTTCATGCATGTCGGTAGGTCAGTTACAAATACTTGCAGTCCGACTAATAGCAGCCTTTCTGAGCAGTTTCTGTAAAACCTTTTGGAACTAAAACGTCGAGACCATTACGCCTACTAGAATAATTGTGATGGTGAGAAAATAAAATCATTAGCCTCAAAGAGTGTAAACAAGGCAAGGGTATTGTGAAGTCTAGCTCCGTTCATATCTCGTTGAATCTCGATTTAACGGAGTGCCAGGGGACTGGAATATGGGTTCGTTATATCGAAAGCTTTGTTAAATCGAAGCCCTCGTTACATAACGAATCGAATTTGCGGAAAACAACTAACGTTCGTTATATCGAGGTATAGTTAATCATCGCTTTCCAGTGGCGTTATGTCGTCGCAATACCCAGCATTTCCACATCTAAAAGTTTAAATGACATTTGTACTTTAACAGTTGCATGAAGCTATTGAGAGTAAATTTTACATAGCTACTGCACTGGAAACCTCTACAGGTCATGCCTATCCTTAAAAAAGAAAAAAAAACTATTGCACAGTCTATCAATGAAAGTAAAGAGTTTCCCATGACAAAACCGTGATTAAATGCTAGAAAATTAAAAATGCTAGAGTTCCTCTGGTGTAGATTGCCTCTGTCTCTTTCCTTTCATCCGCAGAAATGTCTTAGATATTCTATTCTATCTCTTTGTTTCGCACCTAATGCCAGTTATGATTACCTTTCCTATCCCTCATTTAAATTAAAACTAAAAAGTCTTCGTTAAGCTGTTAAGCTCAGTAGAAAGATTTTCATTGAGTTATTATATTTTCAGTTTGGGATACCTTGGTCCAGTTTGCATCTATGTCTACTTTATTGTTGGGGCAATAATCGACAGGCTGATATTGACTCCGATTGTCGGTGTGGTGGTCAAGCAGGAGAAACTTGAGGGAGACTTCAGGTAATTTGTTAGTTTTTCCTCTCTCTTCTTCGGTCAAGTCATATACTTCATATGGTAAGAGTGATGAGAAGGCACGAGCTCAAAGTATTCAAATGTGATGGGTCAGCGATAGTCAGATATGGCTAACACGTTTACATCCGTGTTTCCACCCCATTCAAATCATGTGATGATTCATTTGGGAGGTTACAATTGTTCTGTTTGTACATACTCCCATGCAATCAGTTGCCTGTAACAAATTGCACAATTACAACCTTCCTGAAAGGAATCATCACCTAGTCTGAATTGGGTGTCAACAAACACGTTAGCCGAATTCGTCCCATTACCTAATTTCCTTTAGAACTAAGGCAGAGGCAAAACGATAATCAAATTTGTACCGTAAACGATGGAAACCCATCCGTTATGTCTTTGGTTTCTGTGGTCTGAAGATCTCGCTTGTGATAGTTTACAGCGCAATAAACAGTCCAAACATATATAAGTTGTTCACGACTTCATAACTTTGACAGTAACGCCATAAGTACAGTTATTATATCAACAATTACAATGTTTAACTTTTACATTATTTTGATTTTAGCCGTGTTAAATAAACGTATTTGTTGAATGAAGATCATTTTCAAGGATCAGACTTCAGATTCATAGCAAACATTGCAAAGTGTTTAATTCGCCTGCATTTCATTTGATAAAATATGCAATAGTGTATTATACATCATAATGAATCAATGAAGAGTGTCATTTCGTCATTTTGTTATATTACCTACGTTCTTAAACTTTGTTCCGCACACAGGTTTAAACACATGCAAATCAGATCAAATGCAGAGTCAATAGCATTTTACAGATCTGGTGACTTAGAGATGAAGAAAACAAATTCAAAGTTACAGGTATTAAACAATTAATTAGGAAATTGCTTTTATCTGACTGTGGATGCCTTAGGTAGATATTTCTTTCGACCAATCCAACTCTCGTTGAGCAGATTACGTCCGAATGTAAACACTAGCTTCAAATACATGCAGTAGACAGTTCCCGTAAGTGAAGACCTCAGGGGAGGACTGTCTCTATGAAAGTTTGAAATTTCATTTATATGAACTTTGAAAGTGTTTTGATGTTCAAAGAATGGACAAAATTATTAATTTCTTGCTCTATCATTGATATCATGTTTTGAAAATCGATGGAGCTGTGATTGTGTCATTTTACCTGTTCAATCTTAAAATTGAACTCCAAAGTGCAAACTTCGAAGGTGTTCTGAAATTCCAGTTGTTTTACGTACAGTATATATCTAGTTCACCATTTCATTTCCCACTCCATCACAAACCAGTGAAGAACAAACTTGTTCATGCAATTTTCTCAATCGTGGCTGTAATTTTGATATTGTTTGGGTATTCTGTTCCCTCAAGAGAAGATCGAGGTAAGAGAGTGAATCTCCCAAATAGGCCTTATGTCCAAGGTAATCCGTCCTAAGTTATTTTTTAGACAGGCAACCCAGTTCTTCCGAGGATGTTACATGCACCATGTTATACCATAACAGGCTCTAGCCGAACGTGGTTGCTTTGGCAAATTGCTGACTGCTGTGTTTTCTCCGCTTGCAGTCAGTTCTACAAACACAGCTGCGACTTGTAAACTTACAAACCATTATGTTCTGTAAGTACTTTTGATTATAAGCATTGAGTTCCATAATCTTGCTACTGTGAGCTTCGCCTGCGAAGGGTAAGGCGAAATGATAATGTTACTTTCATTTTGTTATGATAATCTGTGTTACTGTGATATAAGAAGCTGGAGAGTGGAGAATTAAAAACTCTCACCAAGACAAGTTGTCAAGTCTTTTAGAGCGTTTGACTGTTGAATCGTTTTTGTTTAAGCTTTTCCATAACACAGTTCTGCTACAGCTCAAACTTCATTCACAACAGTTAGTGCGAAGCTGTGGGATAAATTACAGCTTACAGTCAGCATTTTAAAGATTGCAGGACAAAACCTCATGATGCAAGCGGAATAAACCGAGACGTTAAATAATTTACACTCAGGTTATTTATGGTGTTGAACACCACAATTACTTTACGAACGGCCAATTTCTCCAATTTAATGGCGAAAAAGCTCCTCAAGTGTAGCGCATTGGTGTTAGGTAAAGTCCGCATACCCGCCAGGTGACCCATCAGGCTGGTGTTTATCTCGGTTTCAGCAGCATGAAGCGACTAGGAGTATTTCTACTCCCCCCTGGATGGGATGCTAGTCCGTCGTAGGTTTGCCCCAAGCATTGATTTCACCGGTACTCATTTATACACCTGGATGGAGAGAGGTACTGTGAGAGACAAGTGTCTTGCCTAAGAATACAACTCAATTTCCCCGGCCAGGGCTCGAACCTGGACCGCTCGATCCGGAGGCGAGCGCACTAACCATGAGGGCACCGAGCCTCCAAGTACTGGTGTTAATACCCCGTTATAGTACAAAATGTTTATGTGCTGTCTGTGGCTGAATTATGTGAGTTCCACTGTATTTTTCTACAAAAGCGTAACTTTGAACGGAATAATTGAGCCCTAAGTTNTTTCTTAAATTTCTATTTCTAGTTTATTTATGTATTTAATTATTCTTTTAATTCACTTCTAAATTTGTTTTATTTCTATTTTTTTCTTTTTAATTTTTTTTTTTTTTTTTTTCACATTATTGTTTGCAGTTTTCATTACTTTTATTGACTACGTGGGTTCAATCCTGAGCTACTTCATAATAGCCATTGCTTTGTTTGCGGGAAAGTATGATGATTTAACTGTGACTGAGCTCGGTGGTCAGATCAGCAGGGTATGTGTGTATCTCAACTGATTATAAGATAAGACTGCTAAAAGGGTACGTTGATTAGCAAAGCGAATTTATCCGACACGCGTCGGGCAACTCTTCCTTAAAATTTGCAAGTGAAATTTTAGTTATAGAAACCAAATAGACTGCGGTTTCCCATTGCTTATACCCCCCTTATAGAAATGATCTCTTAACTTTAAACGTCCAAAGCATGTCATTAAAACCACTGGGGAAATATAACTAACATTGTAATGCTTTTTAGCCAACTTTGTATGAGCATTATTTAGAAACTGCGCGCAAACAATATCATACTTTTATCTTTCTCGTTTCTTACAGCTTGACAGATGTTGTTGCTGTTGTTTCTCAATGCAAACATTTAACATTCTTAAATTATATTGAATATTGATATATTAATTTAAAGACAGTTCATTTAATTAATTCTCAGCTCACACATCTGGAATACATGATGGTTTAGCGAGCGAGTGACAACATTATTTCCATTCTGATTTTCCTTAAGTTGATTTTAAATTTATTTTAACTTTCAGAGCTCATTTTTCGCCTTGTACTTGATAACATGTGGCACTAAGCTTATTAACTTATCCAATGATTTCTCCAACATGGCTGGATATGTTCACAGGTAACCTATTTGTAAATATAAGAAATCCGATAAGTGGCCTAATAGTTAGCGTGTAAGGCTTTCGATCAATCGGTCTAACGTCGAGTTCTGATTAAGTTAATTGTGTTGTGTTTCAGTTCCCGGCAAGACACTTTGAACCGACCATAATGACTGTCGGTAATGTACAAAAATCTTATGGCCATTAACTTCACAGCTAAACTGACTAATCAGTTTCAACGTACTAGACCTGCAACACCATCGACTGATAAACACTAATTTTCAACTCACTCTGAAATCAATTTCTCTCCAGCTTCACGTCGTTCTGGACCTGTTTGAAAGTTTCCTCTTCTAAATTCCTAATCAGTTTTGAGCTTAACGAGAGAGATTTTCTTGTTATATATCAAACACGAAAGACCGTGTTTGACCACATTTCCAACCTCCGAAGAGAGAGTTGAAAATACGAGAGTATATTCGACGAACTTCAAGGTGTCTGGTTATTTTGTCAAACACTGTCTTGAGTGTTTGATATATCTTCTCAATCGAAACTTAAATTAAGTAGAAAGCAGAGAAAGAAAATCGTAAAAATCTATGCTAATTAAGATCAGATACCCAAACTACGTCGCGGTGATGATTTCCTTTGTTTAATCTTGATGAACTTTTAATGAATTTGAGAAGGATGTATGATGGCTAGTAGCCCATCCAGGAAGTTCGTGATGATTTGTTGGCCTCATTCTGTGGGAGCAGGAGTTAGGTGCCAACTTGATAAATCATCAAGGCTTTAAGTCAGGCTTTTAACTGTACTTTATCAGCTATATGTGATGCATTGACAACCTTTCCAGTTCATTATTCAGTGGAACAACTGTTTTGTGAAGACGATTCTTGTCAACAACAATAACAACAGCAACACCAAAATATTAGCATTTCATTAACCTGTAAACAGTATCCTATCTTTTGCTTTTTGTGTGGCTGTTGTCTTTTACAGGATAGGTCAGCTTTTGGAAAGTTTAGCTGCCATGGAAAGTGATTCACAAGAGAAGACGACAGAAAACGAAGATTCTTTAGGGTAAAGTTTACCCTTGCATCATTAAATTGTCCCCTCTACAGCTTCTTTGCTTTTTCGCTGTTCTTTTGCGTTTAGGAAAATGTGCGGTTCATGCATGCGGGAATTGAAACATGACGAGGAGTTTTAAGTCATGTTGTTCGAGGAGCAGGGATGGAGACAGCTGGGTAACCACTCGCCTTCCGGCAATCTGGCCGGGGTGCCATACTTGCCACGAGTGACATGTGAGTTGAGCTTGGTTCCAGAGAGAGTAAAATTCCAACTCAGGAATAGACCTTTCCGAGCTCCAGTTCAGTCTGGAATGCGAGCGCTAGAGACTGGCATTAGAAATCTCATTCTCAACAAACAAAGTTAAAATAAGTACATGTATGTTTGTCAACTTGTGTCAGGCTCGATACAACATCATTTAACAAACATCTCTCGTTGTTTCAGCACTGCGAATATGGCTCCAAACAGAAGGGATGCAATTTTCAAGCTCATTAATGTTTCGTTTGCTCCACCAAATTGCACGGATCCCCTCGTCAAAGGTGAGATGATTTTATGGCGGTGCAGTATTCTTTAATTATATTTTGAATATATAGGAAGTATTATACTTGGACATAAACTATCAAGCAATAAAGGCGACAAAATAAAGGCGATTAACGTGCTAGTATACTAGCGATTAGTCTGCTAGTATATTCTACATCTATTGTATTACGGGTCTAAAGAACCAAACCGAACTTGAAGTAATTACGTGTGGCTGACGTGAAGCGAGGGAAAACGTGTGAGAGCGAGTAGCGATTGGTTTCGGTCTTACTTCCGATTGGATGGAAAAGTGGCGCGAGTTTTTTTAAGCCAATCGTGTAGCGTAATAATGTAAAACCAATAACTCTTCTACGCTCAAGCGAAAACTGCTCTATGTGATGGAATTATCGAGAAGTAGTGAGTTTTTTGAAAGTGAAAGTGAAATGGGTTTCAGAATTGGGAGCGCATCCCTTGCTAGTAAAGAAACTAATGCCGGAAACTTTTAGACAATAGTCCTTAAACATACTACGTACATTTTTGATGTGTTGTTCATTCAATGTGTTATGGATGGGTTCTTTGTGTTTTTTAAGATCTAGATTTGGAGATAAGCCATGGAAAAAGTATTCTTATAACCGGAAATGCAGGTAATTAAATTCTTTGATAGAAAGGTTACCTCACTGGCCGGAAAATCGAACCATTGCAAATGTTGCAACTTGCACTTTACTTCTGGCCTATAGAACCAAGACCTGTAATTTCGCCGTCAAAACAAATATCTCTCCAACCACTAAGTTACCAAAATACTGACAGACTTAGAAAGCTTGTTTTTATAGAAAATGCTCATTGCAGAGAGGAGGGAAAGTCGCAAGGAAACTATTTGGGTCAAGCTAACAAGTATCTTTACTTAGAATATAATCAATGGTCATCTTTTTCTAAAGTTTATTTTTTGGAATCGTTATCCATAGGAAGTGGAAAGAGTTCGCTATTTAGAATCCTTTGTGGAATATGGAGTCCTCTTTCAGGTACAAGTTGCTTCGGTATAATTATTCTAAATATTTTCTGGACTAAGTAAGTACACCTTTAATATTATCAAGGTACTTCTTCAGTTTCGAAATCAAAACTGTTACCAACGAAGGCCCTGTTTAAAAATTTATGACAAATAAATTAGTATATGTTTTTTCTTTACATTTTCAGTTAATATATGTTAGCTTTCGAGGAAACTGAAGTCTATAGATATAGCTTTACAGAAATCATGCCTAAGTGTTTCTAGTATTTTTGCTTGGATTCGAATTTTCGGTCGCAAATTGTAACCAATCACAGACACTAAACGAATCGCCTCGAAGCCACGTCATACAGTGGCGACATGTCACTAATATAAAATTTTATTTGAGTTTTGCTCAACGTCTTTTCATAGGGGAGGTCTTGGGATTCCTTCCGTTCAATCCTAAAGCTGTCTTCTTTTTACCCCAAAAGACGTTTCTAACGGACGGTACATTACGACAACAGGTAAACTCATTCACAAAATATTAGCAATCTTACTTACTATCTTACTTACTAAAGAATTTACAGTAGTCGAACGAGAGAAAAAAGAGAGGACTGCCTGAAAGTACGCACACCGTGTAAAGCTATTTCAAGAAATGTGTTTGAAAGGAAGGTTTATTAGAAGACTTTTCCTGCATCAAAAACCAAATAGACGTAAGATACTCCAAATGTACGTATCAAACAAGTAATGACATATCATGGGCTTCCATTCAATATTGAAACTGTTTTGAGCTACGTAAATAAATATTTAGGGAGGCGCGGTGGCCTCATGGTTAGTGCGCTCGTCTCCGGATCGACCGGTCCGGGTTCGAGCCCTGGCCGGGGACATTGTGTTGTGTTCTTAGGCAAGACACTTTACTCTCACAGTGCCTCTCTCCACCCAGGTGTATAAATGGGTACCGGCGAACTTAATGCTGGGAGCAACCTTACGATGGACTAGCATCCCATCCAGGGGGGAGTAGAAATACTCCTAGTCGCTTCATGCTACAGAAACCGGGATAAGCACGCAGACTTTACCTTACCTTTACCTAAATAAATATTTAGCAATAACTGCAAAATGCAGAATATATTTTAATATAACTCAACAAAATTTGTATAAATCGCATTCTTTGCTCGTTTTCTAGTTAACTTACCCTTACGAAGATCCCTCTTATGGAGATAACTCAGGTAATAATAGTTTATGGAACAGGAAACATGTTTTTGGCCTATTTATGTTTGGGAATACATACTAGTTGATGTCCACGTCCCGTCTCCGAGAACTGACAAAGCCGGCGTTTTTGTCAGCTGATTTGCTAAGCAACGCGACAAGTTTCCATTACGACATGCTGACGTGACTAGTTTCGGAGAGGTCATTTGTAAAAGTGCTTGGTTTTGAATGGATGATAAGGATCAGAAACTGTTCGACGCTGGAACGACGATTTACCAAGAGTGGTATTTGTTTTCTAGACTGTGTTTACAATATTGTTGACTTAAGTTTCTTCTGTTGTAGGTTCGTGTGCCGAAAGCAGTGAAAATGTGAAACTTCTTGATCTTCTGGAAAATGTTGGATTGGTAAATTTCTTACTTTTTTGTTTTTAATAATAATAATAATAATAATAATAATAATAACAATAAGAAGAAGAAGAAGAAGAACAAAAAAAAATAACAATAATAACAATGGTTCATTAACCATGCAAAAAAATGGCTCTTCATCTGTCACTGACTAATAAATTACAAAGCTCACTAAAACTAAATCTGGCTAACGAGTAAACAGAAAAAATCAGTGATTACGTGTAGACACTCAATGTATGTGCAAAGTTAAAACTATTTACTATTAAAATGTCTAAAAAGGTGATGTGTCTCGTGGGAATGTTTAAAAGAATTTCATTTAAGATAAAGCATACAATGTTAGGAATTTATGTAATTTACAACTAAAAATGTAATAATCACCACAAGTTTCAATATTTTTCGGAAGACTATTAAATAGACACGCAGCAGTATCCTCAAAGGTTCTGTTTTCATTGGTGACTACAAGCCTGTTTTAGTTGCTCGTTGTAAAGACAAATAGGATGGCCAAGAAGGATCATGAAGTGTTTTAAATGTTGATATAATTAAATTATAGTCCTACCTACGTTGTACTTCTGTGAAAATATTCTTCAGGAATTTTGAGAAAACATCTCATGAGCTCGTGAAATCGATTGGTGAAGTAGTACATTTAAACCTGTGCCAATGGATATTTCCCGTTCGCAGAAACCTCTTAATTGTAAGAGAACAGTTTGTCCTGATTCCACTTACATTCAAAGAGTACTTTTCAAACTTCCCTTACTCCCCTGAGAGGACCCTTTTTCTGACACCACGAGCGTCCATTTTATAGGACACGTATTCTGGTTTACGTTGCTAGGGTATCCTGTTAAGGGGAACCTTATTCTGATTCCAAGGGTTTCTTGTGTAGCCTACGAACAAGGTCTACTCCAAAATCTGCCAAGGGAGAGTTTTCTCGCAGGTTGTCTGGTTTTCAAACTATCCTTCGGATGTTTCATCTGATTATTCTTCATTGTAATTTTAACAATGCTATTCTGCTAATTTTGTTTCTTCAGACATCTCTGTGTACCCGAGTTGGTGGTCTTGATAACCCTGTGGTTTCCAATTGGTAAGTATTTGTAGTTTTGCTTTACCAATCCTTACAACAGGGAAATTAGGAATTCTCTTGTACCTCGCAGAAATTGCCAAAGCTGAAAACGTTTATCAATATTTTTCTAATTCAATATTGATCAAGCACTCAAGCACGGATGCCTTTTTTTTCATGCCCCTACCCTGCCCAAGAATGTTCAAAATCCCGTGTTTGAACAGTACGGACCAGAGGTTTATCTACTCACGTCGACTTTCATCCGCGGTCGAACACTTAAAGCACACAACAGTTAGCATCAAAGCCTGTCAAACTGAGAAAGCTCTCGCCAACTGTCATACATGAAAATGATTTGAGCTGGGTCAGATTTGACGAGGGGTTAAATTCTAAGTTAACTCAATCTGCCTTGCTTGTCACTACCATGGAGTCGCCAAACGATTGACTATGAACGAGCTTGGTGGCGAGTACAGTCAAGTGGAGAGCTCCGCATCCTTCACCTAACAGAATTGAATGGCAGGCTAAAGTAGTTGCAGATCTAAATTAGATAGCTGCTTGTCCTGAGTAAAATAAAATGTTATTTATCTGATATAGGGAGGACATGTTGTCCCCTGGAGAGATGCAGAGGCTGTCCTTCGCTCGTTTGTTCTTTCACCGACCTCTAGTAGCACGTACGTAGACTTGAATTACTTCTTTGGGAACAATTGACAGAACTAGCAGTTTGATTCACAGCCGTAGTCACTTTTAATTTTTGGTTTTGGTTTATTTTCTCCCTTCAGTTCTTGATGAAGCTACAAGCGATTTAGATGTGGCCTCGGAGACCAGACTGTACTCATCTTGTAAACAGCTTGGTATTACAGTCGTTAGTGTCGGCCATAGAAAGTCACTGAGAGAGGTATGTAATAGACCAATTTCGATATATTAAGATTCAGCCTAACACAGTAGACCTCAGCGCGAGGCTCTGGGGAATAAACTCCACAAACTCTAGTTATTCCCCAGAGCCTCTTAGGTCCATTGTTTTAGGCTGAATTTTAATATATCAAAATTGTTCTATTCGTGCGACAGTTAAACTTCATGCTCTTATGTTCTCACTTTTTGTTGGCGCTTTCAATATTTGTATCCTATGACGTCATTCTACAGAGAGCCATGTAGCTTCTCTGATAGGTCAGTACACAGTTGTGAATTTTGCGCTGAATTGCAATGCGCATTTTTACTGAACATAGTTTTTCGCGTCATTAGCGGCACACGAGCGCGTGCGAATACTCATAGGGGTAAGCTTGACCAAGAAAAGATGATCGTTTTCTTTTAAACCAGTGCCGCGACTACCATTTTTAATACATCAAATTAAATGGCATACAGGTGATAACAGTATAAAACGATTTAAACAAAATATAAAAGGTAAGATTTCTGCAAAGAGATATCATTTGTCGGGTTTATACGAATGCAGCGAATTCTTTCATTTTAATTGCTTCATAATTTTCATTAATATTTATCCTTTTTTGTCTTTTTCTCGTTTTTTATTCTTTAGCTCCACGACTTTAATTTGGAACTGGACGGTGCAGGAGGGTGGGAATTCAAGAAAATCAGAGATGAATAGAATATGTTTAGGAAACGCAAATTTCCGGAATATCTTTGTGGTATATATCACATGTTTATGAACAGGGCAGCCCTTGATGTTTTTCCTAAGATATTGTGGTTTTGTTTTTGTTTTGTTTCGTTATTTTTATGGTAGTAACGTTTGTTAAATTATATAATGGTTCAGTTTAGATGTGTAATTATCACGAACATTGTGCAGTTTTCAACTGAATAATGAAATTAGCATTCATATTATGCAATAGTTCAATTAATATAAATATGTAGTCATCCTTTACATTATGCAATGGTGCTATCTATATAAATATGGAGTTATCATTTATACTTTGAAATAATTCAATTCAACTATGCAAGCATCATATTATGTAATGGTGCATTCTATATAACTATGCCGTCATCATTTATATTATGAAATAGTTCAAGTTCAAGTAAAATAAATATATAAATTTGAATTCGTCATTATATTATTTAATTGTTCAATTTTACTATGCAGTGATCATTCATGCTATGTAATGGTGCGATTTAAAAATGATTTCATATTCAGTTTCACAATGTTTGTAAGTCTCAGTCGATGGCATGCAAATCGATGTTATTCATTACCAACCGCTCACCTTAAGTTATGGCATTTTGAATTATTTTGTCCAACGATTGCTTTGATGTACAACGTTGTTTCATCTTGTTAAATCGAAAAGACCAAAGAAAAAAGCTTTGCATTCGTACTGAAGGTCAACATAAACCTTTGAATTTTGTTCAGGTTGAGTAGTGGCCAAATGTTAGACTTTGTGACACAAAACAAAAACGTAAACAAACCCTCGAGAGTGCGCAGAACGGACTGGGAATCATCTTTTAAATAACGTGAAATATTTGAACTACGTCGTGGTTAAATTTAAATATGTAATGATTCTATTTATAGATGGTAATAGTGTGTTTTGGATGATCTAAAGGAATGGTAAAATTCAAATTATTTAACAGCTCAATTCATTTTGTTATGTTATATTTAAGTTATGTCGTGGTAAAAAGAAGTTTCTAAAAGAACCAACAGTATTTACATTGTTGCCAAGTAGCTTACATTACTAACGTAATACTAGGAATTTTTTTTTGTAACGTAATGTGGTTTCTTTTATTTAATTTTTATGTGACCGAAGAGTTGTATTGATGTTTGCTATGAAAAGAAAAACCAACAAGAATTAGAAAAGCTTTTTTCCTATCTCATGAATTTTGATAAATGTTACTTTTGTGACATTGTCCAATTAAAAGATTAGTAACAATTCAGTGTCTCACTTCCTTGTTTTGAGATGCTGTAGAAATCATATTAGAAGCCCTGGCCTACATTTGCTTAAAGGGGTCTTTGAAACATCCCTGTTTGCATCAGTAGTTCGTATAGTGTGATCGTCCGGGTTAGGGTCATGACGGGACGCACGGGGCTTCTACTATAAGTACCGCAGAGAAATGGTAGGAAATTTTCCTAGCATTCCTTACATACTCTCACTAGGGTTCTTCGTTTTGCGGCCAGTGAAGCGTCATAATCTGTTTCAGTGACACGTCGATGATATGAAATAAAAAATAAACCAGAAAGGGCGAATGAAACATGAGAGAAGCTTTAAAATGAAGTCACGATAGTAATAGTGCTTTAAAAGTAAATAGTGCGTTCGAGTCATTTCCGATACTTTCAAACGATGGCGGACTCAGCTGACGCCAATAATCTGGGACAAAACGAAAGACTTGGGCAGAAAAAAAAAAAACGTGAGCGGACAAAACCTGGGAATGCCGATAAATCAAGTAATCCTGCAATTGACAATAAAAATAAACGGTAAAAGTTTGCGACGTTTCGACCGCTCTTCGGTCATTATCAAGCAAGATGTAAGAAGTAAAATTTGCATAGATATATAT